ATATATATATATATATATATATAGACTTGGGATCATATGAGACCAAAGGTTTTTCGTGAGACCCGTAAGACCAATTCTCAACCATTGGATTAGATTTTCAATCTCAAAATTCATAATCATAAAATTGTCACGAGACTTCTCAATAATTACAAAATTGTCATCGTGCAATTTTATACCATTAGATCGTTAGCTTATAACAATGGTCTATTTATATTCATTGATCAACTTTATACGTTAATGATCTAATGGTCTAAAATTGCACGGTGGCAATTATGTAATTATTGAGAAATCTTGTGGCAATTTTATGATTATGAATATTGAGATTGTAGATCTAATCCAAGGGCTAAGAATTGGTCTTACGGGTCTCACGAAAAAGCTTTGGTCTCATATGATCCCAAGTCTATATATATATATATATATCGATCTAATTGTTAATATTTTTCTAATTTTTGTATTCTTAATCTTATTGGCTTGATAATCATAATAAGTTTTATATTATCGTTGAATTTAATAATCTCATAATTTAGTTTTACAATTTTTTCACATATTCTCCAAAAATGGCGGCACATAAAAGTGCTAGCAGCTTAGTTCTTCCATTATCTCATCAAACTTTCACTCTATCAAACCTTAAACAACCGTCATGAGCGGAGTGGATCGGTTCTGTGCAGACTCGGCAATGGCACGAGGCATCATAAGCAATGGGACATCAACAGATAATCCAACCCATCACTATCCCGGATTTATTTGGATTTATGATTTTTGATTTCCTAGTCTCTCGCTCTCGATTCCTTCTCTCAATTCTTGATTTGAGTTTTCTCCTTTTTACATATTTGATTGAAGGTTTTAACTCTTTCCAATTTGCTAACGTGCCTATCTTGGTTTATCATTGTTATTTTGTTTACGTTTGTGGTTTTACATATTTGATTGATGGTGCCTTTCAACTGTTCGTTGCAATGTCACAAACGCAACATCTTTGATATTCTTGTTAGTTTAATTTAAAGTACTGAAAAATTAGTTGATTCTTGATTTTAAAAGTACTTGTTTTCACTGTGTTTAAGTGGCATTTATGTCTTAGTGATGATAGTTACAATTTATCAGTAGATGATGATTACTAGAAAGTCTTAAAAGAATAGAGAGAACAGGTTTGTGTAATAGGTGATAGACGTACATGATTTGCTAGTTTCTATACTCCATACATATGCTTCCACTAAAGGAAATAAAAACATATCTAGTTAATTTAGGTGCTAGTAGAGATGCACAAATGACTGTTAACTGATTTTGGACTGGTAAGGACTGAGAACCCATCCAAAGGAAGATGGGTTAAAAAAGAATAGGTAGAATGACTGGGTTATTTGCGAAAGCCCGTTAGGTAAAAGCACGGTAAAATCACTTAACCGAAAACCGGTTAAGTTAAGGCACGGTAAAAGCCTAAAAAAGTCCGATCAAAGCCCGAAAAATACGTTGCGTTCACCCCAATTATGTATTACGACTAAAATCACTTAGAAAATATCAATAAAAAAAATAATAATTTGTGATAATCAATGGTGAAATTAATAAAAGAAAATTCAATAAAATATTTTAAAGATATATATCCGTTTTTTGTGTTACTCGACTTTAAACCCAACAAGCAACACAAATGGAATCGATGGTTTATTAGAGAAGTTACCAATGTTTTCGAAATATTGAAGACGACAAAGACAAAAAAGTCAAATTGAAGATACAAAAACATTCAAGAAGGAAAAAAAAAATAAGTCAAAAGAATTAATTAGTTTATAACATCATGATTTAACTAATTTTTATATCTTACTATTAATTAGTTTATAATTAAATAAAACTAAATGTATTTTATACAATACTTGTCCACTTCATTCTTTTATATATATATATATATGTATATATATATATATGTGATCATATGAAAACCGCCATCATTTGTGTAAACCGTGCAAACCRCCTTCATCTGTCGATTTCATTGTTTAATCTTATGAAATTTTTTCATGAAATTGTTTAATATTGTAACATTATTTCATATAATACTTTTTTTGATGAAGTT